ACTTGATCTTCTTACTGTAAGTACAACTAGTACTCATGTAGCTCTGGAGACAAACTGAAATCAAACGAATTATAAAGTTTTGATGTGTTAACTTAAATTGTCAAGTACACGAAGAATAGGCGTTTTCTTATGTTTTGATTGTAATATATGTAGCTCACGAATGAAACACAATTAAAAGCTGAAATTTCGGTTACCGATAGATTTCTTTAATTAGTTTCTTTGATAAATTTTAAACTCTCTAGATAGTTTCTATTACTCAGGAGAGTTTTAACAAAATTCGAATTTCTGTTTTAAGTCACGCTGTTGGGACACAGCTGTTTTGCAACAAAATCATTTCTTTAGAAGAAAGACTAATATAATTTTTCAGAGTACAAATTTATACAAGAATTAATCTGGGTCAATGGTAAAACGAAACGAAGAGTCTCAATGGATTAAATGCAAACAATACCTCGTAATTCAGGCACAATGTAATCAAATTGATGCCGAAATTAATTGAAAAAATCTTGTCATATGCAATGAATAAATTAACACATGATTCTCCACTGACTGGCACAGATAATTTCTTTGACAATCAATTACAATAAACTTTTTGATCTTAAATGTAAAGGTAGTCTGGTCAATTTACCATTTGGATCTCTGTAGAATTCGAAAAATATTTAATGTTTTCAGATAAATTCATTTATTGTTGACGATATATGAATTAGTCTAGAACAAGAAGTAACAAATATAGTGTTTTTCTTTGTGATGTGGTTCTCAACAAAATTTAATTATTTCTATAATAGAGCAAAATGTTTTCGAATGAATTCCATAGATATTCATTGAACAATTGCTCTTATTACATATCGACATAACTAGTCATCAGGCACTCGCACATGGGGAAGGTTCAATGTTAAAATTGAAGAAAGCTGAGTGTACTATTTACAAGAGAATGATGAATAGTATTAGAAATACAAGCGTTCCTATTCTTGAGTAACATTATATGCTCTGAATACGTGAAATCTTTATTGGGATGGAAAACTCGAAAATTAGTGAAAAAAATAGTAGTAGAATACATTGTCAAATAAGAATCGATCAGTAAGAAATAATTCTTCATCAGATACGAAGTACTCTTTCAACATATCACCTTCGTACAAAGCTAGATATCTACGACTTGAGATAATACATTGAAAAACTATCTATATTTTTGAAGAAATTCCGTAACTAAACTCGCTTATAGTGCATTTTGCTAGCTTATGTTGCTAATTTCACAATAACAACAATGTGTCCAAATAGAACTTAACAAGCTCCAACGAATAGATTCATTTTGAACACAATATGATTTAATATTTGCATCCGTTTTCTAGAAACACTGTGTTACGAAATTTCATAAGTATTCGAATTCTACGATGTTTTTGGTCCATCAGACGTTTTGCACTATTCGAAATTTGCGTCGAGCTCTGAATAAATCGGAGTCGATTATGATTTCTCTAGAGAATTTCTCGAGTCGAAAAATTTGAATCTTTTTTCGTTGAATTCTAGTAAAAAATACACCGTTTGTTGCAAAATCCGATGTTGAGGATGAGTAGCTGGTCGTTTTTTAATTTATTTTGCTTTCATACTGGCCTAGAGTATGATTTTTTTGAAAAAGAAGGATGAAATTCCATGACAAATACTATTTGTAGTATGTATTTAATGCAAATACACTGATTTAGCAATGACCTGATATTCTGAAACCTTGTTAAACCCTGAACAACCTTTATGTCGAAAGTTCATTTGTATGTCGTTTCGTAGTAAAATGCTTAACTCTCAGTACCGCTAAAAATAAATTGTATATTGTTGAAATTGTGTAATGGACAGTATTTTCTCAATAGCTCAGCTAGAGCTAAAGGAAAATGAATGTAATTTTTAATGATAGTAGGTCTAAATGGCCTCTATCTGTAATAAAAGTTTTAAAGAATTAGCTTTTGCTATTCACTAAAAACGGATGTTGCAATGTAAAAAAAAACAATAAAATTCTGCAATACTTGATCACGCTGATATGTCAATAGTCCGTAAATAGTTCATATGCGAAGACTGTCACCAAAGTAAATGCATACAACTTGTATGTATTCAACGGCTCGTATCATATTCATCAAAAGTAATATGTTTCGATTCACTATTAGCAAAAATAGTTGGCTTAATTCATTCTTAAATCATAAAACTTTTGTGAACGCTAAGTTAATACAGGTTTTTGTGATGGATTGCGTTTCAGTCAGACTCAATACTGATCAAATAGAATATGTATGTACATATAATAACATAAAAATATTCGGAAACTTGAGATACTAATCAGATAACTCTCAAAAAGGTATTCAATCGTACAACCAGAGAGAGAGTAGCTTTGCTAGTAATGAAATATGTTGCATGACACAATGTTGTTATATCTAAAACCGTTTGGTATTAGCAAACAGAAGTTAATCAAAATCATCCATGTTATTCTATATTTAAAGTAAAATGTTCAAGAAATCAAATACAGACACTTGTAGTGATTAGAGTCAGTCGATAAGAATAATAACATTGAGATATTATGCTTCTTCCAAATATGATTGAGGCTCATCTATTGTCCAATTATATATATCGATAGGGTTCCCTTCAATTGCAAATATTAATGCTAAATCATTAATAAGATGCTAAACATATCTTAAAATTTGAATTCAATTTCCACAATTTAAGGTTTGAATTACTTTGATTATATTGAAATAGAAATTATTTTGTGATATAGTATTAGTGATCAAGGTCGGAAGGCTTCAACTATTAAAATGTATGAAATATATTAGAATGAGTATAGCAAACTAAAGACATTGCTTGGGGGATATACAAGTTAATCCATATAGATAAATTAAAACAATTAAAATAAAATCTAAATTTGTCGGAATTTCTATCGCGTCATGACCATTGAGAGTAGTGCTCCTTTGCCCGAGATTTCTGGAAAACAGTTCATCAAAAAAATTTGAAATTTTCAAAGCAAATCAATCTTTACGAAAAGATCAAAATTTTTCATCCAAGACACTGCCTGTTATGAAACAGTCAGCGCAGAATGGTTCAATATTTGCCCCCGGTTCTCGACGATGCTATGTTCGATTGGACTGAAAATTTCTCTTACAGACATCAGATATTGCTTGAGTCAGTATCTTTTTATTCTTCGTCCTTCGAATAAAAGGCCAAAATATTGAAAGTATGCTTAAAAAACGCATATGTTTTTTAATAGAGCTACCAAAAATCAGCAGAACCATACTTTTTGAAGTACAAAAAAAAACAAATCCTAAACAGTGTTTAATATTTGAAGAAACAGTTTTAGCTCGATCGAGCATACTAGATCGGAGACACCCGGATGTGTCTACATTTTTTTCAAGAAAAATTTGATTAGAGAAAAATGCAAAATAATGTTGTGTTTTCGCTCATTTGATTTCTTCTTGCATTTTGTAATGTGTACAGACAATTTTTGGATCCTCATCAAATAGATATTACTTCAGAATATACAATGCCCACCAAACAAAATTGTGGGTGATGAAAAAGGTTAGAATATCCTTAAAAACCTTAAGTAACCGATTACCATTGCCCTAATCATGAATTTTATATACCAGATGAACTATCTATAAATTATGGACTACTTACATGCAAATAGTTTCAATATTAACTGAAACAAATTGCTTGGTAATATCGCACATACAGCTGTATTTTGAGTGATAACTGATATAATACCTTGAACGTTTTTCTTTTCAATGCAAGATAATCATACTATAGACAAAGATGATGTTTCTTTATACAATAAACAATTTTACCAGTTGATATTTCGCGAAAAATAAACAACTGAGAGATTATCTTCGTTGATATTATCTCATCAATTCAATTATTTAGATGTTGGACATGGAATAGTTTCATTTTTGCATGATGATTTTTTTTTATTTTTTATGAAATAATAGTTGAACTAAAGTTTTTGTTCAGATAAACACACGTGAAAGTCAAATCAGAAAAAAGAAATAACGAGTGACGCTGATTAAATGGACTAAAATAATCTTCTTTTTTATTTAGGTAATTTTCTATACAATTTCAGAGAGTCATTCAATAGAGTTTTTCACTGTTCAAAACTGTTCTGTTTGTTTTTCAAATAAATTTCTGTTGTAGAAACAAAACTTATAGCATAAAGACTTACTTAATCATCAAAATATGAACGGTTAAACAAACGATATTATGTGAAAATATAGGAATAGAAATTCTTGCGTGACAGGACTTAGGACTCATTCCATTTTATTCAGAATGAAATTCTACATCCAACAGTGCCAGAATTACTATTTCATACATCAAGTCTCGCTTTGGACAACATGGATTTTGCTAAAATACATATAATTATTCCACTAAGTAGTAGTTCCAAGCCTTTTCTCATAAAAGATAACATCAGAAACCTTGCAAAGTTATTTTCTATTCACTGATGCTGACTTCATTACGCTTTGAATTGATCTTGATGAGCAAAAGCTTATACAAATTAATAAATAACTGTAGAAAATCAAAAACTACAATTAAACGATAAAGCACGTATTCATATGTTAAATTTTGATCCAACAAGAAAAATTTATTTGAAAAACAAATGCAACAGTTTTGCAAAGCAAAAAATTCTCGATTGAATAACTGTATGAAAGTATATCTGAGTGATCCAGAAAACAAACAAATAATTTTGTTCTATTTAATCTGCAGCACTCGTTACAATAAAATAATTCAACTGTTTAAACAAGAATGATAATGACTATTTTTCTGTTCTTGTTTGATTTCAAAATGATGAAGACTCACGACAATATTGCTTGTTCAAAATGCACAATAAGAGATGCGATCTCGACAACATAACAACTAACAACTTCAATAACAACGATACTTAAACTATTGCTGAAGAAAAAGAAAGAAAAATAATGATATAATCTAATCTAAATTCAAAACAACGAAGAAGTTTGTTCTTGAAAACCATAGATAAATAACGATTAAATGAGGTTCTATTTTGGATCAGTAACTTGAGAAACAGGTACACCAACTAATGAAGTTAATCGAGGTACCAAAGACGAAGATTCATTTGAAGGTGATGATTTATATTTAGGAAAAGCCAAACCAAAACGAGTTTCAATTCCTAGGAAAAAAAACAATAAATTTCAATGAAAAAGCTTGATTAGATTTAATTTACCTTCAAATGTTGCTTGAGCAAAATGAAATCCACCAACATGATCAGGATTGGTTGAAAGTATAATTGATGAACGTACTTTTGGTGAATATTGTTCTTGATCAACATGTTTTGAACCTTCTAATTTTCGACCTTGAAAATCAATATTTAATGCACGTTGAAGAAGTTCATAGGTGAGCAAAGTAAACCCAAATTGTGGTGATGAGCGAAACATACGTGCACCAGCACCTATATTTAATCAAATTCAAAATTAAACAAAACGTTTGAATTTTTTTCTTTTTTCATACCCTTCCAAAATGCTGTCCATCCTTCTTCAATATAAATCTTTTTAAAAGCATCTATCAAACCATTGTATTTAGTTTGTCCTTTTCGTGCTTGTACTTGTAAACGTGTTTTAACAACATCAGCTGGTGTACATAGACCAGCAGCTGGTATACCAGCAAGTAGAGCTGATATAAATAAACTTTTTGGATCATTATAACCATGTTCATCAGCAAAACGTCTTTTGTTATGAGCATAAGTTGGAAAATAAATAGCTGAAAATGGAATATCGCGAAGAAAACATGCACGAGCACCTTTGTATAAACCACGAAAACCAAGTTCACGTACAACTTCACTTGCAGCTGGTCGACGTACTGAATGAATTTCACCAGCAACTTGTAAACGAATTTTAACGATTTCTAATGGATTTGTAAATGTTACCTAATATCAAAAGAAAATTCTTTGAAATGACTATTTAAAACTTTCTGATCTCTTTAACTGTCATATAATAAGAACATAGACCTGACATCTATGTATTATTTTATGGAACACTAGCTTTATCAATCTTTTATTAATTTTAAAAAATTAGTATCTCTGATTTATAAATAGTATCCTTTATATGTTGTCATCCAAAAAAAGTAAATCAAAAGTTAAATTCCTTCATTTTTCGAGCAATTAAGAGGGTCAGTAGAAATCGACATAACATTTACTCTAATTGTACAAATAGAAAGAGCAAACATTTTTCTAGCGAATGATATCCTGATTATCAGTTTTCTGTAAGGCGTGTAGTAATAATGAGAGTTTTTGGTAAGACATATAATGACATGTTTGTAATTCCTTGATTTTCATACTTACTAAGTGGACTCAGTTGTTTCAACAGTGATAGCTGCAAGACTTTCAGTTCTTAGCTGACTTTGTAGAGGAAAGTCTCGACCTTTATGCTATGCAAAATACCGTTAATAGAACGTATGCTATAAGGCACATCATTACTGGTCTACAAAAAATTCAAAACATGATGTTGTCAAGGAAAAGAAAATGGGCTGTATAAAGGAAGTAACGAGAAAAGCACTAAATAACAGCATGTTATGAATTTACAACAGAAAACGATCGCACTCTCTGTGTCAATTCAAACTTTATGTTCAAGACTTTAAAAGATTTACTCATAATTCTTGAATTATGAGTTTCACCAAAATTATCATTCTCGCCAAGTATCTAATACTTTCGGTTGATCTTGTTAATCAATCGAAAAATGAAGGAATATTCTGTGTAAAACCTTTCAATACATCCGTTACTTTCTATATATGAAATACAAAATTCTATCGTTTTTCTCTTAAATAGTTATCTTCATACTTGAGATGCACCAGCACATCCACCAGCAATAATTTCAGCCCAAAATGGAATTGTTCCATCAGCCAGTGTTAGACGATCACGAATAAAATCATTCACTGTTAATTTAATAGCTTTTTCTGGTGCAACACCAACCAATTGAGGAATTAAACCTAAATATTTAAAAAACAATTTTAATTCACTAATTTCTATGTCTCTATTCTATTTTTACCTCGATATAAACCAAAAATGCCTTCATGTCGAATAACTTTTTTAAAACAATCAATTGAACTATGATAAAGACGTTCACCAATAATACTTGTTCGTTGATTTTGCATACGAGTTTTAACTTTAAAAATCAAAAGAAAAGAAACAAAGAAAGTAGATACTAATATCTATTCAACGAAAACAAAAATATTTTATACCAAGATCAATCGGATAAACAACTGTTGCTCCAACAGCACCAGCAATACTACCTAAACATATGAATTCTTAATAAAAAAAAAAACAAAAGAACCAAGAAAAGTCTTTCATTACCAAGTGTAAAACGATAACCACTTTCAAGAATTTTCATAACAACACTTTGATGTTCAATTTTATAATATTCATCAACAATTTCAGATCTTAATCGATAAGGTAATAAATGTTCCTTAGCTGATATTACATCCAAATCACTGAATTCAATATATTCTTTTTCAATTTCATGTCCAGCATGTGTTTTATGTAATAGATGTGTTATAGCAAACAAAATATCGATTTGTAATGGCGTTGTACGTGGAAAATGTTGAGCTTCAGTTAAAAATTCTTCTTTTGTTATCATCGATGATTTATATGTATGAGACATTTTATCACGTTTAGCTAAATAAATTTTTCTCATTGATTCAATATTTGATAATAATTGTAAGAATGCTGCGAAATAGGGAAATGAAATTTGATTAGTTGATGTTGTTGAGCATGATAATTTAACAATCTCATGTAAATGTTTTGATATGAATTCTGCTAATTGATATTGCCGTAATTCATGAAGAATAGTTTCAAAATTTTTTAATGATATATAACCAAGATTTTCTTTATCAAGTTTTCGAAATGTTTGTATTGTTTGTTCATCAATAAAATCTGTCAAGAAAAGAAAAAAAAATATTAAATTTCCTAGTTTTTTTTTTTTCTTTTTACCAAGTAAAATTTGTGTAAATTCTTTATATGTTATTTGTCGTTGTCGTTTAGCACCAAAATGTGTTGTAATAAAATCAGAATCAAAATTAAATGGAAATTCTTTAAATTGTTTTGTTGCTGATATTATATATTGAAAATCATCAAATGTAATAAAACCTTGTCCACGACGATCAAATAATTGAAATGCTAAACGATATAATGAATCCGATGCCAATAATAAAGATTCAAAATTAATAAATTTAGTTAATGTAATTTCTATTTTTCACAAAACAAAAAAAAAATGAATTTACTTAATAATTAATTTAGAGAAAACAATGAACAAACTTTGATCTTTATTTAAGTCAACCAATGATGAAAGTATATCAAGTGTTGTTGGATCTATATTATCACCTTTTAAATAGCCTAAATAATCTTGTAAAAATTCATGTGGTGTCATATAACGTTCACCAAGATCTTCATGATGTGCATAACGATTAAATACAGCCAATAATTGATCACCATCGGCTGATGATATAGTTCGTGCTAAATGTTAAAAAAATATTTTTTCGTATTTAGAAAAAGAAAAAAATACTATTATAGTTTACATTGCATTGGATCTTTTCTATTTGGTGTTTTTTTTTATTTGTTTACATATGCTTTAACAAACACAGTTATAGTCCATATAGTTCACCTACCGTAACAAAATGTAACCGTATAAAGCAGAAACAGATTGATTACATCGCTTCATATAGGCACTACATGCTTTATTACCGGGAACGAAGGAACCATTAAATAAACCATGAAATTAAGCGACATCTATTTATTAATCGAAAATATCGTTAATGAGCATTTCGTTGTTACTTTAATATTTTTGTCAAAGAATACTGATAAAAAAAAGTCTATGTAATTGACGAAGAAAAACCTCAACGCCATCTGTTATTGTAAACACTTTGTTTATCTTGATTCAAGACATTTGTAACCTCGTCATTTTTCATAGTCGAGCTCTTCTTTCTATGTACTTAAGATACTCTGTAAGATAGTTTTTCTAGGTACACGTTATCTTATGATAAACTTCTTGTGTACCTATGTTAACTTTCTAAAATTGTTATTTAAATTTTATATTATTTAGTTCCTGTAGAAAAAAAGAAGAATGGGTAAAGGTGGACATAATACAGGTACTGGTGATGATCATGAACAACACTTAGACACAACAACATTACCGACACAACATCGATTACCAACGTTATCTGAAATAAAAGTCAAAATTCCTGCTCATTGTTTTCGTCCAACTATTCTTCAATCAATGAGCTATGTTATTAAGGATATTATCTATGTTGCTATCACATATTTTTTCATGTATCAAATAGAGAAATTATTTAAATATGGATTTTTATTTTTTCCTATTTATTGGTGCGTACAAGGTATGCTGATCTTTTGCTTTTGTTTTCAAAATAACTTATATTTTTATGTAGGAACTCTTTATACATCATTTTTTGTACTTGGACATGATTGTGGACATGGAAGTTTTAGTTTCTATCCTTTATTGAACAATATTGTCGGTGTGTAAAATTTACATAGAAAAGTATTAGTGAAAATTCGTTTCTTCTTATTTAGGTACGATATTACACACATGGATATTAGCACCTTACTATACATGGAAGGTAAATCGTGTATAGTCATTGTGATTTTGATATCCAAACCGTCCTATAGATCATCGATATGAATATATTGCAAAGAATATAGAGTAATAATGCATGGTGTTTTATAGAATTAATATCGTCTATATTCTAATCACAAGATAAATGACGGTTAGGTGCTTAACGCTTCTAGGCTTAAAATCTTAATAGAAAATTTTGTTTATATTCGCAACACGATGTATCTAATCTTTATTTTAATTTTAGCTTACACATAATAAACATCATAAAAATACAAATAATATTGATAAAGATGAAGTTTTCTATCCACAACGTGGTATAGAACGTCAACCTTCATTTAAAGATGATGTTCTTTTTTGGTTTCCTGGTCTTGGTTGGTTTTATTATTTATTTTTCGGCTATACACCAAGAACAATAAATCATTTTAATCCAGTAAATTAATTTGATTTTATCGAATATGGAAAAACAAATTGTTTTCTCTTCATTTAAGTTTGAACCATTATTCTATAATAAACATTCAGTTGGTGTTTGTCTTTCACTAGGTACATACTTAGGAATGGTATGTTTCTTTTTCCTTTTAATGAAATGAAATTTTTTTGGTTTATTTTTATTTTCTAGTGCTACTTGATGTATCTCTATGCAAGTTCTTTTGGTTTTATCAGTTTACTTGTTTATCATCTTATACCAGTGTTCATATTTGCATGTTATATGGTTATTATAACAATGTTACATCATACAGAAATGTAATGTAATTGTTTTAAAATTGTAATTTATGTTGAATAACAAGAATATTCGAAGTTTTGTTTTATCAAAAGAAAATTCGATTTTGAGATTTTGACACAGTTAAATAACCCTCACTTACTAATATGATGTATCGAATTAATTATAATTTTTTACGGTTTGTTTTTCATGCTATTTTATCACGAAAGAAGCTTAGATTCCTAGGTCACTCTTTGTTTCGCATTTTTCTAAACGTGCCTGTTTTGTGTGTCAAAGGTTTCTTAACCGTTTTACATGCTAGGAAGTTCAGGAAAGAAGCAATATTTTTAAATATTGAGTTCTATTAAGTTATATCGAAAGGTCTTGGTTACATTTTAAAACCAATCGAAAATCTGTATCATTTACTTTCGAGGAGAAATCCTTGTCATGCGAAGACCTACTTTATTCTTTTACTTTTGATGTTATGACAGCTCATGAACAACTGAATATTTTGCGTTGAAGATTTTACTTTGATCTGTTAATCCTGCTTCGCCATTGACAATTGGAATTATCATTTTTAGAAATATTTCAGAATGTGTGATATTAAAAATTTTTTTACACATTGCGTGTAAAGAATTCCCAAAGCTACTAATTGACCAAAAAGCATTGTGTATGATTGCTCTGTCTTCAAGCTATACGATATACAAAAGAGACGATAATGAGATGATTAAAAGTACAAGGTCATCTTTTGCTTCAATTGTTCTTTTTAACTACAAGAAATATATGTATCTTTGTTAATATGTTTTGTGATAAATATAGACGAATGCTACTAACAATAAATTGTACAGCATAAATTGGCAACTAGAGTTGTTAAATTAAGCTTCACACAAGGAGGTGCACCTGGTCGATCTAGTATACTATTAATCTATCAAAGACACCAATACTCTAATTTAATAGTTATTTCATTAGTAATGCTTCTGAAACTGTTATGGAGATCAAAGAGATTCCCCATCCTGTGTTTCTCTAGAGACAGCTTGACGAAAAATTATGACGCTTACATGTTAGATGGATCTCGATAAGTGAAGTAAAACTTGTCATGGACACGAAATTCTCAGATGTTTCTTTCAGAAAGATATAATGTTTTCAAAGGTTAAAAATAGCCAGAAGTTTTCCTTCTTCTTTCAAAACTCTATACTTTTTTTCGAGCTGCTAAAATGTTTAGGGCAACTAAAAGATAATGGCAATGCGTGTTTTTTTTTTCAATATCAAAGTAGTCACTAAAGAAATTTATGCTTGATCAGATGTATTGTGTGGGGAAGACTTCGCTTTTCGTTGAAAAGTTTATTTTGAGAAAAACGCAAAACAAACTTTCCAGCGTGTACCAGAATTTTTTTCTCCAGCTAAAGTGATAAAAAAAATTGACCGTGTTCAGCAGTGTTAATGGTAGATGATCCATGCTCTCAGCACCTTTCAAAATTATTATTAGGAGAATTTTTGCATTCAAAGAATAACCATCACGTGAATTTTTCTACTAGGGATGTCGAGAGTTACGTTGAATAAAAATACTCACTATCAATGAAAAGTCCTCATTTATACACCATTTGACAGAGGATAGTTCGAAGTTATATCAAAAATCGAAAAAATTTTGATGTTAGCATTTGAAAAAGGGAGTCCTCTTAAGAATCAGACACGTATTTCCTGAAAATTTTAGTCTGATCACTAGTTTTGACAAGATAGTGAGTCTTACTGGTTATCTTTGTATGTATAGTGATGTTCCTTGGTATGCAGATTCCGAATGGAATAATGTTAAAGGACAATTATCAACTGTTGATCGTCATTATGGTTCTGTCCATTCAGTAATTCATTCAATTGGCACACATCAAATTCATCATCTTTTTACAAAAGTACCACACTATCATTTAGGTATAGAATCATCATATAATTAGTTTTATAATTTCTTATTGTTTTTTTTCTTTATTTTTTTAGAAGAAGCAACAGTACATTTTCGAAAAGCCTTTCCTGATCTAGTTCGAATTAATGAAGAACCAGTTTTAGTTTCATTTGCTCGTATGTTTAAAATCTTTATTAAACAACGATGTATTGATCATGATGTACGAATATTTACATATTCAGAAGATGGAATTAATAACAAGAAAAAACTTCATAATCAATAAAAAAACAGAAAAATTCAATTTCAAACTTTATAATCAAACATTAGTTTGTTTTTCTCATCCACTGACACTTATTTTATGACAATCAAATCTTTTGATAGAATATAAACAAAAAACAAAACATCAGATTTCATGAGTACCTCTCTTTCTCCCGTAGATAGTGGGTTTGTACCTTTAATATGATTATTTTGTCTGTTGTTTTTGTGAAAAGTCAAATAAACATATAGAAAGACATTAAAGCATAATCAACAACCGACATGGAAGAGATGACACAATGTTTCCTACATTGAACGAATAGAAATCTCTAATGTGTCAAGCAAAGAAAATGTTTCGAACAAGTCAGATATTCAAAAGAACATAATCTATGTCGTGCAAGTCTTAACACAATATATTCACTCATTGTTTGGCCACCCAAAAACAACTCGTAGAATTACTTCGAATCAAACCTTTTCTTTCTTGCCAATTATGTATTCAGAATTTCCTTCCGAGGGATGAGATTGATTGAACAATCACTTAAGACATACCAAAATTAATGATCTTGGTAAAGGAAATCGCACAGGAAAGAGTTAATCAAGTGTTTGAGCTAGTAGTTATGCTTAACCATGCAAAATCAACTTGATTGAAGACATTTGTTGAAGCTATTTGTTCAAATAATCTTCGATTAAAAATTTGATCATCTTGGTTACCGCACTTCATGTTGTGATTAGAGACCGTTTTATTGATTAATTTTATAAATTAGGTCGAGCATCTGAAAAATGCGTAATATTTTATTTGTACAATAAGGTGAGCATAAAATAATTATTATACATTGTGATGTGGAATCGAAAAAGAATCTTTATGAATATATTGTTTGGCATTGCTGTAAAACTGTCGATGTGTTGAACACTAGCCGATGATCTTTGTTTGCTCATTCTATTAATAAGTAGTCTTAGAGAACTACTGATATTAAATTGATTACTAGAAGCTTTCTTCCTTTTTAAATCTGCTAATGTCTTGAAGAGTTTCAACATAGACTCTATGGTACAAACCACATCTATGACGAAATTGACGACAAGATCAGACTACAAAAATATGTCTTCTTGAAATC